CGGGGAATGGAAAAACCTTCGTTGTGGCGGAAATTTCGTTGAAGCGGACTTCGTTGTGCCGGGATTCGACTGTATTCATGAAGTTAAAGCTTGGAGGGACACTGAAGAAAAATAATGTTTTTCGCATATTAGTGAGGTAAAACTTTACTACACTAAAATCCCCCTCTCCTACCATGAGGAGACGCTTGGTAAGCAGTGCTTAGTCTGCGTGCCATAAGAAAATGGCGGTTGTGATGCCACCTTGATGCTTTCACAATATCTCGCCACAACGTGATGCTTTTGACGGGGTCTTCTAGGCTCTAGGTAATCACTGTAAATTATTTACATTGTGTTCTAATGGTCTGAGGTCTTCTCACAGCAAGCTTCAGAACATTTCACTGAACCAATGAGGCCACAATATGCAAGAACAGTGACATTTGACGCATGCTGAAAGCGTAAAATTCAAACATGTGATTTGACCTTGATTTTTTCCTCAAATAATTACCCTACAGAAGGGAAACATGGGTCAAGAATTTTTTTGTGAGTTCTTTATGAATTCATACAAAGCTTGCCAAGTTTGTGTATATTTTGTACAGATTTCAAATGTGCAATTATATTTGTTGTATAATACGTAGTTTATAAGATATCAATCACTTCATGTGCTTTTTGGGAGCCACAGTTCTCCTATCTTCAGAGTTTACAAAGTAATTAGGCACATCAAAATGACCCCAAATCAGTACAAAGTGCAAGAGGAAAAGAATGGATGCTCGAAGTCCTTATGTTTACCAGAATTGAATCCCACAGTTGTCTTTTTTATTTTCAGCTTATAGACATAAAGCCACCATGGATTGTTTGGCAGTTGGTAGAGAGGCAGACACAAAATGTAATAATATACTTGACATGTTAATGCACAAAGTAAATTTAACATTGGTGATTGAATGTGCTTCAGATTTCTGTTGCAGTTTTCCTTGGTTTAAGTAATAGTTAAAACTTTGTGCTCTCATTCTTTGCAGATGGCAGATGACTCAGCTATTGCATAGGCCAGAGGAGGAGGACAGCATGAGAGCAGCAAAATCATTGAATTCCTAAAAGCGCCTTAGACATTGGTGTTTTAATGACAAGCGCTACTAGTAAAGAACACTACTGACTTTATAAAACAATGCAGCTTTTTCTGTGGGCTTGTTGAATTTTTTTTTTACTTCTGGGCCCAAATTAGCACTTAGGATTGGTCTCTGAATTAGATATTTTGGAGGCGGAAAAAAGAAAAAGGGTTTAATGTCCTCGGCAACATTGGCAGGAAGAACCACGAGAGTGAGCATTGCCGTGTTGCAGCCCTTTAGGAACTTTCTTGTATTTGCATGGCTTGTGACCTCTTGGAAGGTCATATCAGGGCATTGGAGAAGGAGAGTCACAATGTTTAAAGTTGTGAAACATGCAATTAGTTCACGCTATTGAAGTGCTGCTCCTTCTGATAGGGTGTGACGAATCGCCATAAAATTTTGTTGACATGCTAATGATATATTGGTGTGTCCTGTACCGCATATTGTAGCACCTTATGTTGTGTGCATTTTTTCCGGTTTTTTTGTTGTTGTTGAAAGTTTGCAAATATGGCAAGTGTTGGTGTTGCATCTATGCTTATTTGAATGTGGTGTCCCATGCTTTACGAAAAACATTCTTCTAGTGCTCCTGCAGTGGTCACAGTTTTCTTTTGTTATATTTTTTTTGATAATTTAGAAGAAAACAACAAGCGCTCAATACAGAACTAGGAACTATTTGCCTGAACAATTTTACATTCAGGCCATAATGGTGTGCCTTGTCCAGTTTTATCCTGGTTATTAACAGTGGGGTTATTTAAAAAAACAAACGATTGTCCCAGCAGTAGCTCAACCTAGTCACGTCTAGTTCTACAGATGCTTTTGGAACATTAAACCTCATTGATTATTATTAGTTCAACGTAGGCAACTTGTCAATTTTTAGTCACTAGTGGTGCAAATTTTTTATTCGCTGTATTGCATAATTGTTATTCAGGCAGCGAGTGCTCAATGAGAATGATTTACGCGAACATGCTGTAACCGTTTTATGAATACCACAAGCTCTCCGTCCTACATTTGGCTTCGCTCTGATGCACGGAGCAGGCATGCATGTTGTCGATTGCACGCAACTTGGACAGACTGCCAACATCCTTTCTGGTTGCCTTCTCTATGGTGTTAGTCTTGCTGTATGACGCCTTTGGAGTTGCTCCCATTGATAGAAATCAATCTGGAACACTTGTTCGAAAATTCATAAGCAAAAGGCAGTCCAAGTACATCACCACTGTTCTTTCTTGCATGTCCCTTGTGTTACAGGTCATTAGCATTATGCGCTGTCCCCTTCATAATTGCATTAACCTTCAGGTTTCACTGCATAAAGTATACTCCCTTACGAACTATGAATAAATTGAGCTCCACCCACATTCATCACAGTCTCTCCTGAAGAGAATTCTCATAAATGCTCCGTTCAACAGTGATTACTCATTTTTGTGACGTCAAGCACTTCTCAAATGTTTATGAGTATTGACATTCCTCTACAAATGCACCTTTTTGTCGCTGGTTTTCGATCGGATACTCTAAAATCCCAGCAAAATTTTTTACGAGATTCTGGCACCGCTTCTCAGCCAAACGCAGGGTTTCAGGTTGTGATGACGAGCCGTTTGCTCGTTACATTGTGAAGTTTTTACGTTCTTCGAGAAGTATTTGCAGTTGGAGCGAAAAACAGCTTGCACAACCGTATTTCCCACGTGAAATATGGCTGCACTGCGGTTGTGCGGGTAGAGTTGGAATTTTTTCCTAGGTTCTAACCGAGTTTAGTAAGATGTACCATTCACTGACTTCATCCGTTTCCTTTTAATTTCACTCTGTCTCTTTCTAAAAACGTTGCTGTTTTACCTGTGCAGAGTTGGTTGCTGTGCATCGCCGTCCTGACCAACCGCATGATGGGGACCCTCACCAGGGGAAGAATGTGAAACGTTGTCCCGTGTGTGGCTATACCACAACTACCATCCAGCACATGCAGTATCACCAACGAATTCACACAGGCGAGCGCCCATTCAAGTGCAACTACTGCAACAAGGCCTTCAAGCAGGGATGTCATCTCAGCCGGCACCTCCTCATCCACACCGGCGAGAGACCTTTCCATTGCCATCTCTGTCCCAAGGATTTTCGAAGAAAAAGCAACCTTTTACGCCACTTGGCAAAACACAGTTAATTTGGACACCCGAAGGTGTTGGCACCTGTGCTAGAAGAATAGCACTGTTTGTTGGGGCAAGTGATATGTATAACTTATGATGTATCATGAGTTGATCGGCCATAGAGGTTAGTGGCAAGACTTGAACAAGGCAAGGGACAAATATGATATAATAAAACACACTTGAAAGGGTGCAAATCTTTTTTGAGCCTATGAGCACTTGAAACATGCAACTATCCATGCATATAGCATGGGGCATTCTTAAGCTTTATTGAAATAGGTAACTTGTGGAATACTGTATGCACAGGATTTCTTTACTTGAGTTGTCTTCAGCTTAGGTTTTATCTTAAAACCCAATACACATTGCTCTTCGTGTGTGCCTTCTTTTTGGGAATCGCTAGCTTTATTGTTTGGATCTGAAAGCCTGTTATTAATTCCATGAAGCAGTGAGTTTACTTATTATTTGCTAATGTGTTGATGGATGTTGTTTTTCAGTTGGTTTTTTTTTTTTTTTGCTTATTGTGCAGTCAAGTAGGTTGCACTATATTTAATATGAAATATCCCGCCTAATCTCCCCAATATGGGTGCACCTTTGCAGCCATTTAACTTAGTTGTTGTCAAAAGACCTACTGCGATAACGAAAGTAAGAGGGCAGTATGCAATGAATTGAAAATATGACACACCATATGTCCATGCCAGGTACAGTCCACCTCTATGTGGTGACTGAAGCACAGCTGGATTTTACTTGACGATATTTATAGCGTGAGAACAGAACGAGTCGTGTCCTTCATAACCTTCTTGTCTCTGTGTGTCGCTGTTCTCGCTCTATAAATATCGTTATGTCATACCAACTAGCCCAAGCTGCCACACTTCTAAGTTGGATTTTACTGTTAGAACGTGCAACCTCATTTCTCTCCCATAACCAAGCCAAAGTGGCTGCTTGGGCATGTTTGCATGACATCTAGGGAAAAAGAAAGAAAAAACAGTGCAAAATTATTGCTCCTTCCTTCTTTCGCTTAGGACTGTGCAAATATATGATGTGCAATGTTCACGGCTAATTTTTGTTGTAAGTCAGCACCATTTTTTGTGTCCCCCCTTATGCTCTATCTTTAGCACAGTTTTGTTTATGAGGTGCCATAACCATGCCATAAAGTTTGGCTGATGTAGCACTTGTCTCTCTACATATTGTTGCCATATCATGTGTTTGGCTGAATTATTGTATTATCAGTGCTGCTTATATGTTGCAGTAAAAATGTTTTGGTACCATGCATTGTTTCATCGCATTATTATGATGATAACCAGCCATTATAAGTGGCTGGTACAGAAGTGAGTACACTATTGTAATGCACAATACGTGTGTGTTTGGTGTCTTAGCTTTCCTTAATGCTCACATTGTACGTACGTGCACAAAGTATGTCGTGTTATTATTTATTTATTTGTAAATACTGCCAATCCCAAAGGGATCGTAGAAGGAGGGCATATACAATAGTTGAATACACTCAACACAAATTGTGATACAATGGAAACACCAACTAATTATAAAAAAGTGCAACACAAGAGCGATTAGTGGCACAATAATATAACGAAAACAGGCTCGCATAATAAAACCGTAGGCAAGGGGAGAAAAAAAAAGGAGAAAAAGAAAAGCATTGTGAGACTATGGTGTAAGCATTTTTATACAGTGGTGCTTTAGAGCGAGGCGACAAATGCATACTGTGGGGTTTCTGGTATTTGAAAAGAAAAAAGTAAGAGAGACAATGCATGAAGAACTGTGACAGGTGTAGTTTCATACATCAATAGAAGGGGGAAAACGACAACAACAACAACAAAAAAGAACTGTCTGATAGGGCTCTGCACATTCTTGGCGTGTGGTGGAGTAGGCCTCAGATGGTAGGCCTAAGACGTTGGATCACTGGATAAATTTCGAAGCGACGGCCATCCTTGAAAGCGAGTCGAACTGGCAGAGAAGGTTATTACTCGAGTCGTGGCACATACAGAGGACAGCCCATAACATCAATCATTCTCTCGGAACCCTTCCCTCAGTGTATACACATGAACTGCACTCCACGGCGAAACGAGAAAGAGGAGGGTCATTATCCGTTCCGCGAGTGCTTTGATGACGCCGCTGCTACGTAGTCCCGCAGTCACCACTGAGGAAGAAACCAAGTCTGTTTCGAAACGTCGAGTTTCTTCAAAACTTTTGGTTGGAGTCTAAATCATCTCCCAGATTCATATCCAACTAGACAGACTTCTGTTAAATGTTTACACTCGATGTTTGTCTTGCCTCTTAGTCGCAGAGAAGGCATAGGTGTTGTTAATCACTAATGCTAGGTACACAGCAAAAATAAGCTGTCCCAACATCTCGTGTAGATATGTCTTTGCTGTGTTGTTAGCCGTGCTCAAGGGCACCTTTACCCCGTTTACAGAAATTATTCTGGCAAACCCGTTCGAACATTCATAAGTAAAGAGTTGTTCAAGTACATCACAGTGAAATGAATTAGCCATGATAGGAACTGTGCTTATCACTTGTAATTGTGCTTATCATCTGCCTATCACCGTGTTTATCACCCGCACTTATCACCTCTATCTCGTTTTTATGTGCGAGCTCCTTGGTTATACCATCCCTCTCCATATTTCGCAGCCTTGAGTAAAACATCAACGTAGCGTAGAGTAGTGAGACAGACCTCGTACTATCTTCATGTTTTTTCCTACAATTTCACCCTCTCTTTTGCTGAAAACATGGCGATTTTGCTTGTGTAGAGCTGGTTGCTTTGTGGCCTCCCTGGCCGACCACATTGTCGAGGCCCTCACGAGGAAAGATACCCGAGGCACGGGGTTTTGCACTTGGCTTCACCAGAGCCTGCGACCGGGTCTCGGAGAGTTCGCCCACAGACAAGCGCCCACACCAGTGCCACCACTGCAGCAAGGCCTTCAGGCATTTGAGTCACCTGACCAGGCACATTCATATCCACACCGGCGAGAGACCTTTCGAGTGCCACATTTGTGCCATGAGATTTAATCAGAAGAACAGCCTTACACGCCACTTGGAAACCCACACTGGCAGGAACACTTAATTCTGCCTGGTGTTATTTGTGCGTGCACGGAACGTAAGGGCAGTGCCGAAAAAATCGAGTAATGTGTGCACTTGTTGCAGCATAAGGTGGCAGGCTAGAGGAGCTAAGACTGACTGGGTGCACGTGTTGTATTTATGTGTGTAATTACGCCACCAAACTCACAACTTTAGTGACTGGAGTTGCCAGATGTTTCTGGACTAACAAGCAAATAATTAGTATTAAAAAAAGGCCCCCAGAAAGAGGTGCGACTTTTATGAAAAAACCCAAAAGCAGCAGCAGTTTAAAAATTTCTTATTCTTGCAAATATTATTTATGTTAATGAAAAAGGCACTGAAATATGAATTGGATGTGAAAAAAAATACAAATTTCCTTGTTGAACTGCAATAATATCTACCGTCATAAATGGAAGCACTTATTTACTTTTTGGCTCATTGTTCAGGATTGCCTTCATTGTGTTCTTGTACATTGCCAGCGTACAGTGTGTGAATAACTTTGCTGCTTGACTCCCCAACGTTTGTTGAATTTCAGCGCTCAACCACAGAATGTCATCAGCAAATGTGCTGTTAGTGAATGACATAAATGCTATCAGTAAGCGGGAGGACGGAAATAGCTGTATTTGCAGAAAGAAAACACGTAGGCCTGAAAAACGTGATGGAGTACTGGAGACTTCTACGAGCGACTTGGTAAAAAAAAAGAAGCCCTAGCCTGTTTATCATAAGCTGAATTGACAAATTGGGTAGTGATGAATGTGCTACCAGTGAAAGTGCCAACAGGATGCAGGGCTTTTTGGGATCTATCATGACTGATGAAAGTAATGGCTATTAGCATATTGCTACAAGTACTCTCAAACTGATTTGCAGGATTGCATCACTGTTGCCCCACAGGTATTGTTTTAAAGTCCGACTGATTTCATTCTTCATGTATACCTTGTTCCTGAGAATTACTAGTTTTATGACTACGTGTGAGAGCCCCCCATGCCCAGTTGTCTTACTGCAGATCCGTCTTTGGGGTCCACTCTGTGTTTTCATTGTCATCATGTATTGTCATTACAGTGGTAGTAGTAAATAGCAGTAATAGTAGCCATAGTAATATTAGCCGAAATCACGCGGGTTACATAACCAGAGGGGGGAGTAAATAAAAAAATAACATAAATAAAATAATGATACGATACTAAAAGGGGTTAATGATGGAGCCTAGAAACGATTGTGATGATTATGATAATCATGATGGTGGGGATGATGCTCGATCACACAGGTGCGCTTATAACTTCAATGTCTTACGGTTTTCACGGCCTGGAAAACGGCTGCATTTTTTTATGTGATCTTTTTCATGTCAGTGAGCTTATTTATGATTCGCTTCAAGTGTAGGCGCACGTTGCTTTGCTAGTCGGTGTTCCCGGTGTGTGAGAGTAGCTCACAGAATGTTTTAGGATGAAATTTCTCATCTTTTCTTTTTCTGCTTCACTTCAAAAGCACCTTAGCAACATGTTTACTGAGATGCTGTCAAAAGACCTGTTCTTATATTAAAAGCAGAAATGACGTGTTCCATGATGTGTGAGTACGACACACCATTTGCCATTGTCCGTGCCGTGAACATTCCAGGCTTGTATTGTGTTGGCAGCTCAGTTTCAATTCACTACATTGGATATGTGCAGCCTTGTTTCACACCCCTAGTTAATCAAGCCCTTGAAATTTGAGAGAGAGGTAACTATGAGTTATAGAGCAGTTGTTTCTCTATGTAATGTTACCATGATCATCTGTTATGTTGACATTTCTGTATTCTCAATGCTGCATATGTGGTGCAGTAAAAATGTTTTGTTGCCAATTCGTTGTGTCATTGCATTATTCCATTGATAAGAGGCCATTACAAGAGGCCAGTACAGAAATGGGGTCGCCAATGTTTTGCTTGTTGGCTGGTGTTTTCATGCCTTTTAGTATGCGCACTGTATGTATGCACAAAATGTACGTTTTGCGGTACCAGAATGAAGCCCACCTCAATCACACTTTTCTGTGATTGACCGATTGCTTTGATAATCAAATGTGAACATTTAGATGCTGTCTAAGTTAAACTGAATTCTTGGGGACAAAGTCATAACGTAGTGGGTGCCGCAGATTGTAACGTTTCCGGCCGCAGTATCACAATTCTCGTACGCTATCTGCATAAAGCATCACCAGCTATTACCAGTGTCACCTCTGTAGATCAAGGATGTGCACTCACGCTGTTTCCTTACGACATATTGCAGGCAAAAGATATTCATGTTTCTGGCTGCATCTTTCATTTTTTTTAGCGTCACCGTAGTTAGAGCGCCATAACCATTGCCTGAATTAAAAAGTGCACGCGCGACATCTTCTAGTACTTTCGGTAAACCGTCAGCAGTGGTCATTTAATCCTTGGTGGTTCATCAGTTGTGAATTGGTATTCGACACTTTCAAGCTGTTACGATTCAAGCCATGTGTAACGATTTATACTTTAAAAAAGCAGGTATCAACGCAGATTATCACCTGTATGTCAAGTTGAAAAAATTTTTTTTGCTATGTCCACGGGATAGACGTTACACTGAGCTTTATTCAGTTGTGCTTTACTTAGGGCCCACCAGTACTTCGCCCTTAATAATTTCTGTTTTACACCCTTATTTTTCCTAGATGTGCAACCTCAGGATTGGCAATTGTGTAATATGTGGTGAAGCATAAGCTTTTTTTTTTCTATGAAGCCTGCTTTCTTAATACTTTATGGTAGTATGAAAGGTAAATATTGTCTACTGTGTATCGAAAATATGTACACCAGATGACGCGTACAAAAAAGTTAGACCTACTGTTTCATGTGGCCAGTATTCCTGTGTTCCTGTCGAGTGGGGGAAATTTCCTTAATGCGTAACCAACTCTTCCGAACTGCAAAATTCACAATGCAAGACTCTTATACCCTGTGTGCGAAAATATGGCATATTGCAGCCATTTCTTTCGTAGAGACCTATTAATTACCACTGCTGTTCAATATGAATGACTACATTATCAAAGGTGTTACTAGAACATTACCAACCTGGAATATTTTCAGGATGCTTCTAAATTGAATTCCCAAGGTGTTTTTATATTTACAGCCTTTTATCACGCAAGTCATAGGCTGCTGAAAACAGCATAATGCTTAGGGGAGTGCGGATACAGTTCAGAAAGGAACAAATTGCAATAATAGCAAAAGTTGGGCTAGTTGGTGATTCATACTTGGGAAGTAAAAACAGCGCAAAAATATTGACAAGGACAGAGGAAGAGAGGACACCGCGCTGATGTCGTCTCTTCCTCTGACCTTGTCAATATTTTTGCGCTGTTTTTACTTCCCAAGCTAGAAAGGAGCATAGGGCAGAAAGAACCCTCACTTTTTGGGTAGTGTCTGTTGCCAATGCCCCAGCACATAAGTCTTGTTGGCGTGAAACTTTTTCGAATAAACTCGGTTGCAATTAAGCATCCTTTCTGTCCTGTGTTCTTTTCTTAACCTAATTCGTGCTCCCCTAAGCAAGATGCCGAACTGGCCTAAGAACTAACCATCAAGAATGGCAGCCAATAAGGAGCTAGTAAACAACTCTGCAATTTGAAATGTGTGACGGAGCGATAATTATGCACTTGTGAGATCTTAACATGCTGCCTCAAGAATTTTGAACTTTCTAGGTGCTGTAATAAGAAGGAGATGGGGTATGGAACAACCCACTTCAGCTGATTTCGAGTTCCCACTCTGTCTTCCCACTCGTCTCGGCAGCCAACAAGGAAAAGGGTAGCCCTCTGTCGTGTTTACTCCCACTTCGGCAATGTAACTAAACGTCAGCGATTACCCAACTAGGCTCCTTCCGAAGCATGTTGCTGGTGACAGAGTAGCATTAGGGTCAACCTAGCGCCACGATGAAAATAAACGCACGAAAGCTCATCACTGCAGGGCTGTGGCAGGCCATTTCGTAATGCATAGAACCAATCGACGAAGACTTTGCAAGGCGATGGTCGCGGGTTATAAATTACAGGGGGTTTATTTAAAAACACGGACAGTGTAACTTGTAGAGACGCTCTCAGAGAAGGCCGCGAAGATTGTCGTCTTCTTCACTCGCCTGCGTTGCGCCTCTCGAGCAAATCCGCGTTCTTCGTTGTCGTTGCTATCTCGCCGCTAAATGCAGCTATGCACGCGGCATTACCCTCCTGCCAAAGTGAGCCTCGTCCCGATGCTCAACAGGTAGAGATGCAGCCAGCGGGTGTTTACATCACTGAGAGTGGTAAAGTTTCATGCGGACCACGTGCACTGTCTCAGGCAGTTGTGGCGACGTTTCGAACAGGAGGAGGCATCGGGCACGACTTCGTACGTCACGTCGCTAAGACGGCGCAAAACCTTGTAGGGTCCGAAGTATCGGCGTAGGAGTTTCTCTGAGAGGCCTCTTCGTCGTACAGGAAACCAAACCCAGACTCTATCTCCTGGTTGATAAATGACGAATCGATGGCGAAGGTTGTATTGTTGGGCGTCAAGTTGCTGCTGGTTCATTATTCTGATGCGGGCAAGCTGCCTTGCTTCCTCGGCGCGCTCTGTGAAGTCTGCGGCGTCTGTCTCTGAATCATTGCAATCATAAGGCAGCATGGCGTCAAGCATTGTCGTAACTTCTCTAGCATGAATTAGTGCGAACGGCGTCATTTTTGTTGTTTCCTGGCGCGCCGTATTATATGCGAATGTGATGTACGGCAATATTCGGTCCCAATTCTTGTGTTCCACGTCGATGTACATGCAAAGCATGTCAGCGATTGTCCTGTTAAGTCGTTGTGTAAGCCCATTCGTTTGTGGGTGGTAAGCTGTCATCTTTCTATGCGCTGTGCCACTGAGCGTAAGCACTATGCGCAAAAGCTTGGCTGTAAACGCGGTGCCTTTGTCTGTTATGACGACAGCTGGAGCACCATGTCTCAGGACAATGTTCTTAATGAAGAACTGGGCTGCTTCAGCTGCAGTGCCACTCGCGATTGCCTTGGTCTCCGCGTATC